GATGAAAATATCGTAAAAAGTATATTAGAATCTTTTTCTGACATGGAAAATATTTACTATCAAGGTGCATAACAAATTTTAATTAAACATTTTTTCTATATGATTTAATCGTATTCATTTAATGTTAGCATGGTTATTGAAAAAAAGAAAAGATTTGAGTGATAATGAGGCAGCATGGAATATTTCCAACATACTATGTTTCAACACATTTATTTTCATAACTAATTATAGACCCTTGATACACAATTTAGATTAAGTCTAGGCAGCTACCATATTGTGGGTCTTTTGAAATATAAATAAATAGCGTTGGATCATACTAAAAATTTCAAATGTTGGGTAAAGAAAAGAATTTTTATATAATTTCAGACTAGAACTCGAATTAGTAAAAAATTTCCGGGAAAATAACCTTTTTAAAAAGTGTTAACTGTTAAAATTCTTTTTATTTGATTAATATATGATACATTGACAATTTAAAATAATTATTTCTAAAAATTATAATGCACATTCTGTTTAGATATTATAATAACTCTTAATTTTAAAGCATTTAATAATAAATATGTATTGTTATTTTTACTAAAAGTAGTTCTTATTAAGCTCTTAACAATATTTAATTTTAATTTTAAAATGCTACTTAAACGGTTCTATGAAATTTACTTCAGTCTCTTCAATCAGTGAATTAATTTTAACGCAGAGAAAATCTAAATAATCATTTATTTGTTTATTATACTTTTTGAATTCTAATTTAATTTGATTTTCTCTTTTAGTGTTGCAATCTCTAATACAGTTTTTGAACCCTATACGGCTGATTTCAGTAAACCTATTTTGTAACCAATTCCTGATATTGATGATATCATCGCAATCTTCCGCTAATTTCATTGATTTTAACTTCAATAGAACACTTAGACATTTATTTTGATTTGAATCGTTAATCACTTTATATTTGAAAAGTAAACCAATATTAATCATAACATTAGTCATGTTAGTAACAAGTTTTTTAAATTTAATGATCTTCTTATTAAGTAAATTAAGTATATACTCGTCATTATTCTGAACATCATTAGTCATTAGTCGAAATGTAATCGAATTAACTTTACCGTAACTAAAATCGACACCGGTTTTTCTTTTAATAAATTCATTTGTGATGCAAAACAACAACCGGACCAAAGATTTTAATACTTCAGTATACTTACATAATATCATAACGTAAATAATATTCAATTTCCGTTCATAGTTCGACTCGTTTGCTGCAAGGTAAATAGGTGATAAATATTCTTGTGGTATAATTTCTTGTGTCAAATCAAATTTCTGATAGTCAATGTTATTGTATAGATGATGGATGCTTAGAATATCATAATTTATTCTGACTTTAATGTCAAGAAAGTTTAACCATGTTTCACGCGATAAAATTTCATTAAGACGGCGGATATCATTTTCGGTAATATTTGATGGAGAACGACATGTTACAAACTTCAGTAAGGTCGCGTAGAGAATGATAAATTTTTTAAAATACATTTTAATGTGAAATTAATTATTACTAAAGTAAATTTTAAAGTAAAAATGCTAAAAAAATGCTTATAAATTAAAATGTTAATTTTCTATTTTTCTATAAAGTGAATATTTTTAATGCTTAATATGCTTATTTCTAATAAGAATGAATTGCTATATTAAATTATAAAAACTTTTTTCTTAAAAAAAAAAAAAAATATATATTATTATATAATATGCATTTTAATTTTATTTTGACTTAATACTAAACTAAAATAGGCGCTTCGCTAAAAATATATTATACATTGTATTTACTCGATCTTTTCAACGCAAGTATAAATGGATTTGTTATATATAAATTATAATATTTGAACACTTTTTGTGTACATTTTGTTAAATTTTAAAATCTATAATGCAATGTTAAAGATGGAAAATTTTAGTTTTTGATTTCGCTATTGTTAGGTATTATGGAATATCTTACTACTCATGACATATATTATAAATAATATATAATAAAATAATAATATTATATATATTTATAATAAATCTTTTATAGTTTCAATTTTAAAACGATCCGCTAACGAGAAGCAAGTCAAAATTGAGTTTAAAGATTTGCAGCATAGCGAAAGACAAATGGACAATAAAAATTACAAGTTAAATATAATCTTAAAAAAAAAAATTAAAATACTTTATGTTGTAATCTTGTTATGCTATGTTGAAATCTTCTGTAATTAGATTTTTAGGTGAAGTTCAAAAAAAAGTATATTAAATGAAAGATAATTACTTGAAATATCACTAATTATTGTAAAAATTACTTTTTTTGAAAAGTTTCAAAAATATTTTTCATTTTTAACAAAATTTTTGATTTTTTGTGATTTCAAAATGAACAAATGTTAAGATATTTTCGTTATTAAAAATCTAGTACAGTGGGAACAAGTATAAACAATAACTGACAGAGATTGATATCACTATCATAAAAAAATGCATCGATTAAATTTTGTGGCTTTCAGCTATTAAGTCTATCTTATAGAATCTTATATTGATCTTATAGAAAAAATATAGAATGAATATGAAATCATTTTTGTATTTTCTATCTTAAAGTATTTTTAAGAATCTTTAATTTGGTATAGGTTTGAAGAACGCAGTTTTCCGAAAATATATTTAAAAATTGAAACACTAAGTAATTATTTTGCTTTAAGACCGATTTGGAACACATCGATGTAAAACAAATTAAAAGTATTCAAATTTAATTTATATTACATAAAATGATAAATACAAAATTAGATTAATAAAATCGTAGCATAAGACACAAAGATTTTCTTTTAAGCAAATAAATTATTGTTATATATTTACCATTACTTTTAGAACAATTATAAAACAAATGTTTCCTTTTTTTTATATTTTTCAAAAATTAATTTAAATTTTGTTGTTAGTAGTAATTAATATTTTACGTTAAAATGATTATATTTAGACTTTTTATATTTGTTATTGTATACACAAAATGTGCATTTTCCTTAGACCCTTTATTGCATTGCAATTTTTCTGAACATTTTCTGAATTATTTTAAGTATAGTGAGAAATATTTATTTAACTTTGAAAATAACATTGCTGAACTTGAGTTAAAAAATTATGGAATAGCAGTAAAATCGCATGGCAATATTGTCATGATCATGTTAGATCCGTTACGGGAAGGACAAGGAGTATGTCGCAGCAGATTTAATGTCGGTAAATTTATATTTAAACAATGTTTTGGGACCTATAAACATGATAAGTAAAGATGAAAATGACGCTATCAATAGATCTAAAAACTCGCAAAATTTACTTAAAGGCTATAAAATTCTACACCAAATAATTTGGAATATTTTATAAATGAAAAGTGTTTAAATGTATCAGGAAAAAATGATTTTATATCTTTAACTAATTTTAAAGAACCAATAATATACAGTTCGAAAATCCTGTTAGATGAACTCGAGAAACTCAATAATAAAATAATTAGAAAAATGAATGAATATTTAACTTTGAAAGATATGTTTGGGGGAGAAGATAATGAAATATTAAAAAGTAATTGTAAAATATTAAAGCATTTGGCAACAGTTTTTGAAAAAAAATCATACAATATTTTTAATCCTAAAAATCTCCTGTTTTATGATTTGATGGAAAATAGTCCCCATTTTACGGAGATAGACTTTATATCAGGTTTTCAGACAAGACAACATGCTAGATATAACAGTGATAAACAGCTAGATAATGTTTTAGATATAGTTCGTCATGCCCCGTTGAAAATAAGAAGCATTAATAATTATGAAATAAAGTTATTCGATGTGTATCGTTTTATCAAGTTCGACTTTGACTTGAAAAATGTAAAAGCGTTTCAAAATGTAGTAAACGCAGCAATAGTTCGTTCAATTATGTCGATCGCACATTTTTATTTTTCTTTGGTCAGAAACATTTTATTACTTCCTAAATTTAAAAATGAGTAATTAAAATACGCAATGAAATATAAAATCATTGAAATGGGCCAATATATTGTTGAAAATATGAAATCTTTTATGGATTTGAATTTATTTGAAAATAAATATATAACTAAATTTGATTGCATTTTTAATAAAATTTGGGAACTTATTTCATCTTTCAAAGATAAAAATAATTTGTTTACATTTAGAGAAATACATTTAATATCAAAATTTTTCTATCACTATTTGAGACGCAATTGTTTAGGTTGGGCATTGCTGAATTACAGGAAAAAGATTTCACAGAAAACAATATTAGAGGCATTTGTGATTTGGCTTTTGGGAAGTAAATAAAATTGCTTTATTAATTTCAGAATTGAAAAAATAAAAGTATTGTTTTGAAAACACAAACAGATATATTCCTACAGAATACATAGATCATCGTACACTTTCGAACATTATTTTCCATATGGTTAGTTATAAACATATAACTAGGATTATATTCTTTCTGTTTGAATGAAAGAATTTTATCAATGTTCATATAAATTAATACCGTTTAAATTTTTTACATAAATATATTATATTATAAGAAGAGTTATAATTTTTTCAGTTACGACATTTTTAATACATAGATGTATTTAAAAATACAAATTAAAAATTCTTTTTTATATAAACCACAGTAAATATAATGTTTAATGGTGAGTATGATACAAAAGTTATAGACAAGAGGAAAATTCAACGTAGAATAATTCTTGTCCAGTCCATTCTCAGTGTAATAGTTAAAAAATATTAAAAGATTCCTTTTTAATTTCCTAAAATTACTACTAAAATATACCGTTATAAATAATATTTTCTTACAATTAATTTGACATTTACTGGTGTTCATAAAAATAAATCAAATTTTTATCTGTACAATATTTATTTAAAATAAATTTTCATTCTATGTATTTTAAATATTGCAATGGTCGGTCAGACAAAATTAATCCGTCATATTCTTAATTAAATAATGTCTTTATATCATTTAAACTAGTTAAATATATATGTTGCCATTAAAAAAAAAATCAAGTTTTTCATCTGAAGACAAAGTTATTATTAACAATAAAGATTTAACAGTTTTTATTTTAAAAGTAACAATACTCTATTACATTTTCAAATTGATAAAATTATTTGTAGTAAAAATAATTTATTCACAGATTAAATGTATTATTTACTCTACATCATTATTTAACATATGTAATAAAGAAAATACATTTTTATGATGAACACAAGTGTTATGAGCAAAAAAAGGTTCATTTTGAAACCAAAAGTCCATTAATTTATTGATTTCATCTATGGATTTTGGTAAACTAGAGTTTTTACAAAACCTTACAGTTTCACTCTGAAATAAAATAAAAATATTTGTTTAATCTAACTTAAATATCTTAAGTAAAAAGAATTTTACCCGAAGATAGTTGATTACTTTCAATGGCCGACAAAGACTTAGGTTTGGTATATTTTGTTTTCTCATTAACTCTATTATCTCTTTTAAATCATCTAAACCATAGATCGATATATGCAAAGCGATGTCAGTAATTTTTACTACAGGATTATTACCATCTCCTGAAAAAATATATGTAAATAGTAGTAATTTTTTATAATAGAGGACACTCTTAAATATCAATTGGTGATGGGTGGTCATTTTTTAGCATATAATATCACAGGAGTAAATCAGTTCTTCATGATTAAGAGGTAAATAAATTAAGATACCACATACTAGTTGATTAAGAGGACTGTCTTTTTTTTAGATTGAATTAGATGAAACTATTTAAATTTTTTGTACAAACCATTAAATTCAAAAGTAATATTAAAGCCATTCTTAGCAATTCTATCATCAGACACAGTACTGGTATTAGTAAAAGGTTCATGATTTACACTCAAATTTGTCAAAAACTGATAATTCTGTAAACCTAAAAAACTATAAAAATAACTAATTTGTAAACATTATATGGTTTACAAAATATAAATGAAAAGTTAATATTTAAAATAAATAAAAAATAATTAAATAGTGATGTATCTAGTGAATATGATGTCATCTTTATATTCTATTTATAATAATCTATACTTAAGTGTATATTTAAAAGCCATAATACTTTTAGTTCTGTGTCTATTTTACAGGGTTATTAAATAATTATTTTAATATATTTTCTTAAGTGTTATATAAAGTAATTATATGTTTACTACCCAACCCAACCGAAAAATATTATTGCATCTACAATCCATTAGCTTAGTAGTCAGTACCACTGAATATAGCTAGGCATATGTCATTAAATATTTAACTCCACAATAAATTTCTCCAATAAAATATATTTTTGTATAAATTCATTGTAAAGCACACTCAGTACATATATATATATGAGTCTTAAGGCTTACAAGTGCCTCACTATGCTAATTTAACCAGTAATTTTTTCTAATAATTTTAGTTTAAAAAACTTTATTGAATTGATAAAAATTTTACTTTTTATATTTGTAAAATTTATACAGCTTATTTTAAAATAAAGTAGACATTTTGTGTAGAAAATTAATAAAGATTAAATCAGTGATCCAATTATAAAAAAATATTTTCTTACTTTTTATCCACAATAATAGGTTCATCAATTATTTTTAGTGGTATTGCATCCATTGACAATTTTTTAAAAAATGTAACAGATTCTTGAAGACAACTAATATTCAATAACATTATTTTATTATACACTCTACAAATCCAATTATTTTCTTCAATTTGACCAACCAACTCATAATCTGAAGTTCTTTCATATTTGCATGTTTATTAAATATTTATTAGGTATTATATAGAGTGTTCAGTAAGTAAGAAAACGGGTATCTATTATTCTCATTATTTGTAACAATTGACTTGTTTCCTTAGTTACTGAACACATTATATAATACAAAGTTCATACTTACAAATTAACTCGTTTATTTTTTATCAAGTTTTGTTTTATTTCCAATAAACTAATATTAACAAAAGTAGTATGTCTTTTAAGGTTTTTTAATAAAAATTCAAAGTTTTTTTTTTTTTTTTTTGATTCTTCTAACTTTTTAAGAGGTTTAGTTTTTTGTTCATTAGCTAAATTTTTATAACTCTCTTTTTCATTTGCACTCAACTCAGCCCAAGATTTAGCTAGTAGTTGACTTACTTTTGTAAAATCAAGTCCAGGATTTTCTCTTAAAACTAAAAAATAAACAATAAATCCATCCATTTTAATTTTACAAAAAATAAAGCATCATACAGAATTATACTTTTTATTCTCATTTCTTTAGCAAATAATGTAAATCCAGACATTTCTTTATTTCCCATTTGACTACTAACACTTTGTATAGTTACACTAAAATTTTCACTTGGAGTTTCTAAAATATAAAATATTTCAACTATTTAGTAATATTATCAATACAAAAAGGTTATATAATTTAAGGCAAATTCTAAAATTAGAGAACATACTCCTAATCTAAAGTCTGCAATTATTGTAAGAAACATTATTATGGCATAATACGTAAATTTAAAATACTTTTTAGCACTTAATGCATGCATATAAATGATCACTTGGAAAAATGAAAAATTTAATTTTGTTGAAAAGTTGAATAATAACACAAATTTAATTAATATCTAACGAATACTTAACACTGCTAAAATTAAGCAAAACCTTTCGTAACTTAATTGAGTATAGATAATTGTATAACTGTAAAATTCCTAATTTTTTAACAAAATTATATGCAGTTTGAAATTATCTATTATAATATTATACTTTTTTTTATAATAGTTAAACAATAATTAGGTATTAAATAAGGGAATAGAATGTCTATAATAATTTTCAATGAAAGAAACATTAATTTTACTACAATCAGTGTAATGAGTTTTAATTAAATATGTTTAAATTATTACATATTAATCATTTTCAGTGTTTATAAAAAATTTCTGAGTTCATACAGAACAATATTGTTACAAATAAAATTTTCTACCATAAATTTGTGACAATTTTTACTAAATAAAAGTACCTCGAACAGGACGTTTAGATCGAGGTTGATGAACCCATGACTGTGGCCGGCTAACTAAATGAGTCAGACCCGGAACTTGTTCATCTGAAACTGCAACCGTACGAAATAATGGAGCTGAAATTTTGTGTGTTTTTGTGATAGTTGCATTATTTTTAATTTTTTCTTCCTTATTATCAAAAGCTATACTAATCGTTNGTTTTTGTGATAGTTGCATTATTTTTAATTTTTTCTTCCTTATTATCAAAAGCTATACTAATCGTTGAGTTTTCTAAATTATTCTTTTCTTTATGTTCTAAAAAATATTTTTATGGAATAATAATAATAGTATTTATTCAAAAAGCAATTTTAATAAAAAATAAAATTGTTTTTTAATATAAATTACTAATTGTTTCAGTTTTTTCGTTTTCACTGAGTGTTGAATTATCGCTATGATCATGTAAAATTCTCTCTGATAATAATGAATCAGCTATTATGGTAACACCACACTATAAAATCAAGAAATTTAAATTATAAATAAATAGTAAAATTATGTGATGTATGTAGCATATGAGACATTAAATAATTCAATATTTTATTTCTTATAATGATGAAACATATTTACATACATTAACAGGATTTCCATTTAATAGAAAATGTCCTTTACTCCACTGGGATAGTGTGGTACTTTTTAAATCCAAATTTGAAATATTTATCTCATCTAATTTTGAAGTACGAGATAAAATATTAGTTTTGATATCTATTAACCTTTGTTTATACTTATCAATACTATTAATTTTCTCATCACTCTTATTATTTGCAAAGTTTTCTTCACTACTATTTTCTTTTTCATCTATTAAAAATGGTTCTTCAAAATCAATTCCTTCTAAACTTAATCCTTCATCTGTTAGGACGTGTTTCTCAGAAACTTCAATTGATTTTATTGAACTTGTTTGGGACATACAATTACCATAGTTTGTATTGTCAAATTCTGAATCAGATGTATTTCTATCTATTATTTTTGTAGATTCTGCATCTGGTTTTAAATTTGCATTGCCCTAAGAAATTTTTTTTATTAAGTACATACACTCATTACTAACTCTAATAGAAATATAAATTTTTAAATCAATTTATCAGTAAACTATGCTAAATAAAGTAACTCTATGAATCAAACTCATAAACAAGGATTAAACATATTGTTATTTCAAAAATTATATATTATTCAATAAAATCGAAAAGTTTTGATAATAATAGATTAATTTTCATATATATATATATATGTTGAAGGAAGAAGAAGTAGAGAAAGACCAAAAAAGAGATGGAGGGATGATATTGAATGTGATATGATGATTGCTAATGTGAGTGTAAATGATGTGAGAGATCGTATCAAATTGAAGTTTAGGATAAGGAAGATCGACCTTAATTAGTTGGGATTGAGGCGAGGAAAAAGAAGAAGATAGCTCAAGTAGTTTTGAAACATCCATTTAAAATTTATTTATTATATTTGGAACAATATTTTCGTTTTATTATGGAACAAAACAAATATTTTGTTTCAAAACCCATAACACAATAAAAATTTAATTTTATCTTTGATGAAAAGCAGAGAAAATATTGGATTTAGTAAACGTGTTAATTATCTTACTATGTCAAAATTTTTTTTAGCTCACACTGGTCCAATGTTAATAAATTACAAATTTTACTTCCTTTAGAACAAAAATTGTATCAAAATTATTCATTTTTTTTTTTACATTATGGCAGTTAAAACATTAAAAATATTATTGTATTATACATTTTAAATAATTTAAACATAATAAATTTATAATGTTAATTCATTTTTTTTTTTTTTTTGAAAATCCAATCATTTAGCTGCCTACAAGGGAGAATGCAAAATAGCAATGTTTGTATAAAAAATGAACTCTTTAATCTATTTATTTGTTTTTATCTTATAATATATAATATAAGCTATAATTTAACATATGTTTAAAGTTTGCAGTACTTTCGGAATATTTTTAAAACTTAAGATGAAAAAATTGACTTTTGTGAAAAAGTTGCTATTTTGAATCGTCCCCTGTGGGCAAGTAAATAGTCAGGCTTTAAAAAAATTTATATCAAATGAAAAAGAAATACGTAAGGATTCTAAATAATAAAAAAAAATATTTTGATTTGTACTCATTTATATGATGAGTATATAGCAAGGAGTGAGATAACAGCTATAACTATACACCAATATGAGCTGTACCCACTTTTAAAACATACCATTTATAATAATTATACATTGATACCAAATCAATGTATTAAAATGTAACTCAATAAGTACTGACCTTAAAATTATTATTATATAGTTGACCTATTAATATTTTTTGTAAGAAGAACTTTAAAAAATTGTTATTTTGTAATTAAAAAAAAAAATTATTTATTTATTTTATTAATAATAAATAATAATAAATTTGATTTAAACAAAGTCAAAAACTGTATAAATTATTATAAAGTAATTATTAGATAAAAATTTATAAGATTTTACAAAAAATTGTGAACCATTCTGATAAGGCAAAATATTGTCAAATAAATAAGATTTCAGTATTGTTAATTATAAATATTTTGGAGAGTATTTTTGAAAATTAGTATACAAATTAAAAGGAAGGAGTATATTCTTTTTAAAAAACCAATGGTAAAATTTAATGATAAATTACAATTTTAATTTGTAATTTATAAAATTATAATCAACTAATAAAGGTTAAACATATTGAACATTTTTTAAGCACTATTATATCAGAGCGTTTTATTAAAGGGATTTTAATCACTGTTAGATTTCAATCAATAACGGAATCTACCCTATACTAGGTCTCTACTATGCCATTTTTTCATTATACTGCATTCTTTTCATATGCATTAAAAATAACTAATCTATTGTGATATTTAAAAACAGTATGATAATAATCAAATTAGTGGTTATATTGAACAAAAAGNTATTGTGATATTTAAAAACAGTATGATAATAATCAAATTAGTGGTTATATTGAACAAAAAGTAATTTTAGAATAAATATTGCTTTTAAACAACAGTCTATAATTATTTCTACCTCACATAAACTGATGTCTTCTACATTTTTAAAAAAAAAATCAACATCATGCATTTGGTCTCTTTTATGACAAAATTGAGAAGAGTCATTGCATTTTACTTGTACTGGTTTCTTAACATTTTCTTCTATATCTGAGGGCAATTTTCGTTTATTGCATTTTAAGGAATTTTTTTCTAATTCAAATGGTTCATTTGATTGATTACTATTATAATAATGATTAGCCACATTATATTTTATATAATTAAGTATTTCATCCTGAAATAAATATATATATATTTAATTAATCAATATCATATAATATTTTTGATTTTAAATATACTATTAAGAACCTGGTTGTGAAAGAAGATTCGTGATTTATCAGGCTCTAAATTTACATCTATGGTTTCAGGTGGAACATTTATAGATATTAGACAAGGTAAATATTTTCCTGGTGGTAAATAATGGCCAAAATAATTACTTATTTCTCCAACAATTAACTAAAATATATAGTTCAAAATTTAATATACAAACAATTTGCTTTATAAAAAATGTATTTTATCTAAACTACTTACTTTTTCAATTTTATTATCTCTAATAGGTCTTTTATTGACATACAAGAAAATTGCATCACAAACTGTAGTTGTAAGAAAACAATTTTGAACATCAATATTTTGATTTGGAAGAATTAATTCAATATTCATCTGTACAAATATTAATTCCTTAAATACAAAGTGAATTTTTTATCTTAAATCAACTAATTACCAGCAGAAAAAATTTTATTTGTAATTTTTTGATTACATAAAATTCTTGAATTATTAACTATGTAAAGTTCATTCCTTAATTATTTTAAGAGTGTCATCTCTGCTTTTTTAAGTGGGAACACACTTTGAATTTAATAAAACTATTGAGTTTTTTTTTTTAATAGTAAATGAAATTTGAATTTTTAACAAAACTATCAGTTTATTGAATTAAAATACATGTATAACATACGAGTGATTACAAATTCAGGTAACTGTTTTTTTTGACATTGCTATTCATAGAAACGCAGCATTTATTATCAATTATAACTTTATCAACAAATATGTTTAAAGTATGATAGACAAAATATTGTGAGTTAATATTTTTAGATATAGCAACTGCAATACAAAAAGCATCTATTATTAAAGTTGAAAAAACAAAGAAAACACCTTTACAAGACATAAGGTATAAACTTAAAAAGTAACCAAAAACTTTCAAAATTATTTTTATTCTGCTAATAATTGATTATTATAAAGAAAGAAAATCATCCTGTATATATAAATATAAATTTATACTAAATAATATTTAGTGAAATTGAATATATATTAAAATTTACTTTATCATTTGAAAAAGTCAAATGTTTGACACATTTATTTACTGAAGATGACCATAATTGTCCAAATGCTAAAGGTAATTCATTGACAGGTGTCTTTTGCCATAATAATGATTTGTTATGCACCAAAGAAACACGAATATCAGGTTTTATTACTGATAACGATTTAACAATATATTCCATTTTACGTAAATCATTAACACAATGTTTCTTTGAGCTGTAAAGTTGTTTTCGAACAGGTAATCTTCTAAATAATTCCACAACTTTTATAACAGTACCTGTAAGTAAAACAGTATATTTATTATCTCTTAGACTTGAGACTTGCAAAAGTAAGAGAAAAAACGTCAAAAGATTATCATTATGTAAGGTGTATAAAAATGTTGATAATGAGGTACTATCAAGTGATGATGATGTGAAAAAAAGGTGGAAAGAGTATTTTGAAAAATTACTGAATAAGGAGTATTTATATATTTCAAATAGCTTATTCTCGGTATCTTTTCATAGTATAAAAATTTGGAAAAGATAATAGATGAGAGAATAAGAAATAGACATCGGTATCTAAAAACAAGTTTGAATTTATGCCTGATTACTCAATAATGGAGCCATTATTTTGTGCGAGGCAACTAATAGAAAAGTTTAGGGAAAAGAAGAAAGAGCTGTGTGTTGTATTTATAGATTTGGAGAAAGCGTATGATAGACTATTGAGAGAGGTTATAATGTGAGCATTAATGAGAAAAGGAATCCCGAAAAGGTACATTAATATAATACAGGATATGTATGATGGCATTTGTATCATGGTAAAAAGTGTAGGAGGAATCACAAAAGGTTTTAGAATAAGAGTACAAGTGCACCAAGGTTCTGCTTTTAGCCTTTACTTATTTTCTATAGTGATGGATGAAATTACTAGAGAAATACAAGGAGAGATGCCGTCGTGCATTTGTTTGCTGACAATATAGCGTTAATAGATGAAAATAGGGAGAAAATTAATCAAAGGCTAGAGGTGCGGAGATCAGTTCTTGAAGAAAAGGGTTTAAGAATAAATAGAAGTAAGACAGAGTATATAGAGTACGAGTTTGACAAAGGAGAACACAAGGTAGGTGAAATGAGGAGTTCAGTGTCAATAGACGATGAGGTGATAGGAGAGATGGAAAGTTTTAAGTATTTAGGATCAGTTGTGCAAAAGAGCGGGGGTATTTATAAGGATGTAAGACACAGGATTAAGTGCGAGTGATTGAAATGGAGAGAAGCTTCTGATGTGTTATGCAAAAAAGAATTCTGATGAGGCTGAAATGTAAATTCTATAATACTGTAGTGAAACTAGCTATGATGTATGGTTCAGAGTGTTGGGCGGTTGGCAAGAAAGTAGAGCAGAGAATGAGTGTAGCAAAGATGAGAATGCTTAGATGAGTGCAGTGACTAGAGAAGATAAGATAAGATAAGAAATGAGCGTATATGAGGGAGTATAAGTGTAGTGTCAATCGTGGATAAAATGAGAGAAAATAGACTTAAATGGTTTGGTCACGTTATGAGAAGAGAAGAATCGGAAGCCGTAAGAATAGTTGTAGAAATGAATGTTGAAGGAAGAAGAGGTAGAGGAAGACCAAAAGAGAGATGGAGAGATGTTATTGAAGGCGATATGAGGATATCTGATGTGAGCGAAGAGGATGTGGAAAATCGTGTCAAATGGAAGTTTAGGATATGGGTAGCCGACCCCAAGTAGTTGACATTAAGGCGAGGAAAAAGTAGAAAAAGAAGATACTTTGCTAAATTTTTACACTGATTTCAAAACTAAAAATAAATTTTTACTATCATCTCTTTTTTGAAATTATTATTAATTAAAAAACGAGTATTTACACATGAAAAATTAATTGAGGTTGTTTAGGACAAGAGTGGCTGAGCCCAAGTAGTTAGGATTAAAGGGAGGAAAAAGATGAAAAAAAGTATATATTACTAAGTAACTTTATCAAAGAATTTCAAATATTTTTTAATTCCTTACTGTAAAATAATACACCAAGAAGATTAAAGAAAATATTTTTTCTCCCTTACTTTTAACCATCCCAAACAATACATTATTTATCTACCTTTTTGATGATGAGTAATGGAACTACTTTTAACATAGCCATTCATATCCATGGAATATGTGTTGGCATACTTATCTTTATCAGTTTTTGTGATTACAGTAACATCAGCTACAGCACAAATTGAGCTTAGAGCCTCTCCACGGAATCCATAGGAAGTAAGTTTATCTTATTAAAAACAAATTCAATGTCAATTATTTATAGAACTGTTAATTTAATTTATACATATTTTTTATATAATAATTTAAAAAATAAAAAAATGTTTAAATCTTCAAATAATTTTTTTTAATAAAATTAATAAATATATAAAATTATATATAATAAGACTACAGACTAATTTCAATATAAAATTATTTTAAGGTTTTTATCATAGCAAATATTACAATAATTTTACTTACAAATAAAAAAATATTTTCCATACCACTGTATAAATATAAATAACGAAATATAAAAATATAAAAATATGAAAATAGTCTATTAATAGAAAATTAACCCAAGTAATTAGTCCATTAGCCTTCATTTGCTTATAAACTGAGAAATGAAATGTAATATTAGCTTAATATTTTTATAGGAAATTTTCTACAACACAAGTTTTTTTCAGACATTAATTATCTTATAATTTTTAAATCTTATATGGTATAAGTAAATATATTATAAGCCTTAGTTTTTGTAGATCTTAAAAATATCATATAGGTTCTATCCCCTATTACCTATCTACCTTTACACATACATACCTAAATCTGATATTTCAGATAATTTAGATGTATAGCCTGGTAGGCACATCACATGAACATCTTCACATGAAATTCCTGTACCATTATCTCTAATTTCAATTTTATCTAATCCATAATTTTCCTACAAAATTTATTTACTATATAAATCTCAATAACGTAATATCAAATGTGATAACATTTCAGTTTTTAGCATAGTTAAAATTTAAATAAGAGAATATAAAATTATCTGGGTTTCAAACTTAAAATACGCATCTTAATTACATTTGAAACTAAATTAGATTGGTTAAAATTACATACATGAAACACTTACAATCCGTATATCAATTATAGTAGATTGAGCATCAATAGCATTTTCAACTAGTTCTTTTACGACTGATGACGTAGAGGTAATAACTTGAGTACTACTAACTAATTTGATAGTAGCAGAAGACAGTTTTTTCATAGACATAATAATTACATGCAAGCTAAATTGATAAAACTAAAATTTTTAATCAAAATATTTACTTATCAATAAGATGTTAGGACATAAACACATAGTTCAAATATTTTGAACTTAAAATAACGTCATTGGCGACAAATTATACTGACAAAATCGATTCAAACATGAATAAATTGATTTCTATATTAATTTAATAATTTTATCAAACTGATAAACTCGAATGATAATATTTATTATGACATACACGAATGAAATATAGACGCACATGAAATTAGTAATTTCCTACTACTAATAAACTGTGTTGATAATAAAAGAGAGATATCATAATTAATACAAGAATGGATCGCCATTGTAAAAAAATCCTCTATTTACATTTATTCCAAAAATAATTACTGAGAATACCTGGTACAAAAATTTGGATTTTATTACGACAATAATTACTCCGAATAGAACAATTAATTGATTGTTTCGAATAAAATTTACTCCTAATATCAATAATTCGCAAAATCTATTAATAAAATTATCAAATTTCTAAATAGATGAATATCATAGCAATATAAATAATTATAATTAACATAAATTAGTGTTTACTGTCTGTTCAAAAGTTAAAGTGTGTACCGGTCAAGTTCCCCACATAGCTCGAATCGCATTACCCCTCTCCATGTAATGACGACACTCGTGTCCGGCACTACCGGCAGTTTGCCGTCACTAACTACGTCGGTGTACGCGATTAAAGTCGTACCGAACCGTTTGGGTCTGATGACTCGTGGCCAGTGAGCTGGTATGGTTTTTTTTGTTGGGTTTGTGTCAGCCTGTATAGGCGAAGCCCCAACATACGGTTACTAAAGGCTCAATCCATCTTTGGAGTTGGTGTCCTTAACGTCCATACACTGGTGGTGTTTCCTTTTCTGTGGTATTGTCAAGTTAGTGCGTCTTGTCAATATAAAATTAATCGTGGCATTCAGGATTGTTGGCGTCGGCCAAGAAGTATTGTTGTGGAGATGTGTCAAGTGGCTGGGTGATGTTACTCCTTTTTCTTATTACTTAATGTTCATATTATATGTAATTATTTAATTTGTGTATGATTAAAAGAATCGTGTCATTAGTAAAAAAAATGTGTAGATTGTGTTTTTAGCCTATTATTCGACTGTGTAAGTAAACCCCCGATCCGTCATTTATATTAAGATATTAACTTAACGTTAAAAGTATAAAGTAGTGAAATAATTTACTCTGGGAATTGTAAAGTTTCAGTACAATATTATTTTTACACTGTCTATTAACATATAATTATTACAATAAAGGCCCTCGAAGTGTATTCGACTGTTGAATTGATAGGTATTTTAGGGTAAGGAAGGGGACAGTTATATAATAAAGTAATGTTATATATAGAGTAGTTATATATAGAGAAATGTTATATATAGTTATATATAGAGAAATGCGATTTCAATTTTCGGATTTTGAAATCTTTTTTCCTCTCCTTATTATGGTTTATTATTATAACCTCTAACATTGAATGTTATAAAATTTTCATGAGTTATCATGTTCTTATTTATTAATTGTTAAAAAATATAGAGGAAACGTGCCACTGTTAATAAGATTCGGCATGAACCACATGTAAGGGTATTCGCTTGCATATTCTCTATAACTGTCATTCCAAATAGTCTTGTATTCATACAAGGTTAATTAGGTTAAGCTAACGACACGAAAACAATGGCAAAATAATCATCTTCTCGCAGTGATGTTTTAATGAAGGCTCATGAGGCCCGCATTAAATGTTCTAGTTCAATACTGCCCCTTATAGAAATCGACTATGACACGGCCCGTGTTAGCGTACTATTTATTTACAGTGAATTAGCACGTTATCCGATCGTGATTATCAGCTGTCCACCTCATTAGTGTTGACGATAACACTAGTTTGTCTTGTCCGGCGGTCGGTAGATAGTACAGGTCAGGAGTGCAGCACCACGAGATCCGTCGGCGACTATGTAAACCAGTTCATCTATGACTTACATTCGTCGTGTTATTTACCAGCGCCTTATTTTGTTAATCCTCACTTTTTGGTTCACCCGTCATTTGTATATTATAGTATTATAATAATATTATTATAATTAAAATAAAATAAATTGACTCCACAATCAAATCATAACGGCGTTACATTTAATTTATCATTAACCTTTTAATATCGTGTCAACTATATCAAAGCTGAATATTATTTAAAAGAGAATAATCTTAGAACAAAAGCAACACACAAAAGTACTATTAAAAAAAAGTTTTACATTTTGACTATTTTCTTATTACATCTCACTATATAGATAGTAAATATTAGTATATGGTAGTATATATTCAAATAAAAAAAAAAACCAGCACAGTGGGGAGGCGGCACAGTGGGGTCGTGGCATAGGAGTGTCTAGTATAGATAATATCTGACAGTGATTAAAATCACTATCATAAAAAACACTTCGATGCAAATCTGTAGATAGTGTTTAATTTAAAAACCCAGCACAGTGGGGTCGTGGCATAGGTGGGTCTAGTATAGATGATATCTGACAGTGATTAAAATCAATATCATAAAAAATGCTTCGAAGCAAATCTGTAGATAGTGTTTAATTTAAAAAAAAAAAATTTGTTAAAATAGCATATTTTTGAATACGGTAGCCATTTGCACATAGAAGATAGGTCGTCGGGACAAATTTTTTTTTTCATTTTGTAGTACATAAAATAAGCTTTAATTTGATATATGTTTTAAGGACGCAGTCTTTCCGGAACATTTTCAAAAATTAAGTTGAAAAAATTAATTTTTGTAAAAAAGTTGCCATTTTAAATCCCCCCCAATGAGCAGGTTAAGTGATAGATTTTCAAAAAAATGATATGAAATGAAAGGTAAATATCTAAGGTTTTAGTATAAAAAAAAATTATGTTGATTTGTTGATTTTTCAAAAAGTTATGGAAGTTTTAAGAAAAAAAA